CCAAAAAGTGACTAAATGATCATTGTAAAAGTACATTTGCAGGAATAATCAGATTTGAGAGACTAAGGACAGATTGATTTTCAGTCAAGTGAATTTTTAGTCTATGAAAATAAATGAGATCCACAGTGTTTCAAAATCTGTAACAATTTAGGTAATTTTCAAAAGTAGAATTAAAGGAAACAAAGTGTGATTTACTCTAATAGAATTCCAAAACTTGACTATGATCTCTAATTATAATTTAACTGTGATTAAACTTCATGTGAAGTTATAGGAGCGAAATGAAATCTGCCTTTGAGTGCATTGAATTAGGAAAAACACTCCTATTGTTGCTTCCACAAAGAAGAGATTATAACCCTAAATCTTAGACAGGAAAGCATGTGTGCTGTTATGAAATAGCACTGTCAAGTCAGGCCCTGAACACGGCCTCTTGTCACAAAGAAACCACTCCCAGGTTTTCTCCGCCGCCCAATACTACCTTTGTGGACTTTTTTCTGGGCTTCACATTCATTTTCTCACTGTTTTTAACCCAATGTCTGTGAGATTTTTATTGTTCCCCAGATGATGACACCTGATCTCAATGTAACCACACACCTCTTCGCTCAGCACTATTTGTCACAAACCATTATAAATTATCATGCGAGAGTTTGCATCGCTGGGAAACCGGAAAAGTTTCATAAATTCTAACTACTGTATCAATGGCATTCTTGTTTATTATACAGATATAAAGTTTTATGAGACTCAAGATGTCTGCCTTTCCACTGAGGAAAAGTTTGGCGAAGTAAGATTTAACTTGCAGTTAAACACTGAAAACGATTTGCAATATGCAGCAAATATTTCTTTTGGAGAAACAGCCCATCATTTTTTCCTTTTTTTTTTTTTTTTTCTATTTTAACAGTGTTTTGAGGCTGCTCAAGCATGCAGGACTTTGGTGGGACAAAAAAGAGAAACTATTATTCCTCTCGTTCTCACAATAGCTTCTACAGAACATTCTCGAGTGTCCTCTCTTACAGCAACATAACCACATCTAACCAGAAATCCTAGCCGGGGCTTAGTCCTACAGTTGTTCTATTGTTCTATTGATCGATTCATTGATTGACACCACGTCGTGTTCAATAAAAGCACTGAAGGCATCATATTACTATAGTCTCAATGTTTATAATGAACTCAATTGAGTGGTGGCATCAATATAGATTTTAAAACTATCAGAAGCAACTTACACATTTATTCAACTTAGGAAAATACTCTCCCTTTCAGCGCCACTGTGAGAAAGTAACACTCATTTTAGAAAGTACAGTCGATAGTTTAGTTATGAACCAAGTCACTCTTACTGCCAGCTACATGAAAAGTTCTGATTATATACTATCTTGTTAAAGTTGTGAAATGATGGTTTTTACATAATTATAAAACAAAACAGTAAAAAATTTAAAAGATTTTTCCCTGCCAGAATTATTTGGCTGGTCTGCGTAATTATGTATCCACCCTACATACACCCTAGAAAAGAAGATGGCTTACTTGCTTTGAAGGCTGTTTCTCAATAAGCAAATATGCTAAGAAATTGATTTCTTCAGCTTTCTCATGGTGAGAGTTGACTCTACAAATACTGCCAATTGAAGAGAAAATGCAGGGTGTATTATATGGGAATCATTCCCATTACTGGATCAATATATTTAGTTTGACATATGTTTAGTTTCATATTTCCCAGTGTCTTAACAATAACCAATTGTTAAGATAACCAAGTTGTTTAAGATGTAATGATAGTGATAACTTAGTTGGTGGAAAGCTTTAACTTTTCAAAGGCTCTCAGATGTTCTGTCATTTTACACGAGCAGTAACTTTGACATCAGTATAGCATGTATTTCTACTGCCATTACATGTATACTATAGCTGAAACAGGGAAAATATTAAACACCCCAAATAAAGTGAACAGCGTGTTCTCTTTTTTTTTTTTTTTGGTACCAGGGATCGAACTTAGGACCTTGCACTTGCAAGGCAGGCACGGTAGACTGAGCTAAATCCCTGGCCCTAACAGCATGCTCTTAACGGGACTTATAACTAAAAGCCCAATAGCTCTCTGACTGTGGCTCACTGGACCTAGTTTTGTGGTGTCATCTTGCATCTACTTTTGTAAATGGCCCAATATAAATTACAAAAAGCTATACTTTTAGGCATCTCATACAAACTTTGAAGTCTATGAACTTGTTCTTTAGGGTTTCTGGTATTTTCCAATTTTCTAGGCAATTCTAACCATGCATAGATTTTTAAGGCTGTGGATTCTGCTCACGGGAGGTTAAGTATCATGCCACATTTGACACATCTCAACTGTGACCTTCAACCACGACCGGGGGTCAAACGGATCACCCTGGAAAGACAGCAAAGGCAATGTCTTAAACTGGCCTTCCTATGCCTTTTTAAAAATTTTCATTGATAAAAATATCAGGCAGTAATGCTTCAAAAGACAACAAAAGGGTATTTTCCATGAATCTAATCTCCATGGGCTTCAGCAGGCGAAATGTATCAATCTGTCAACAGTGGGTGGGAGACAGCACCTTCAAGGGCTAACAGCTTCAGTCGTGACAATGAAGAAATCACCTAACTCTATAGCACAAACAAACAAAAACCAGAAAACAAAAAGTCCTTATCATCATAGTATTGCTATAGAAACAAACTTTTTTGCTGTAACTGTCTTGACTATCTTGCTGATATCACAAAAATATCTTCCTATAGAATTACAATCATCCTTTACCTTATTATTTTTGCAAAAAAACCAAAACGGTGTTTCTCCAATTCCCCATACTGTATCCCACACCATTAGATGACAAATAATGATTTAACGCGAAGCGTAATGCACTGTTGTAGGCTCTTCAGAAACTCAACTCGGGGTTCCCTGCCGTAATTTCCCCTCCAGCTGTGTGGGACCAGCTCTCAAGAACCACTGCCCACGTCTCTGTGCAGGTCCGTGCATGGGGGCGGCACACGGGGAGTTCAACACCGGCCTTAATGGGTCCCCATGGATGCGGCCAGTGTTATAAATCAGGAGCTGGACGCCCTCTCACAAGAGCCAGTTGTTAAACACTCACCAGTGTACTCACTGCTGCTCATAGCTAAGGACTTTTCTGAGTCTCCGTTCTATGACACATTTGCCTGGTCAGGATTTCCTGATCAGGAATTAGTAAATATGAGTTTACTAAAATCTAATAACACCTTATTCTTGATCATGATTAACCAGAGGTTTTTTGGGTTTTTTTTTTTTTTTACAGTATCTCCCATAGCACTGTCAAAAGGCAAACATACATAAATAAATTGATAAGGGAAAAAGAAAGGGCAGAAGAAAGAAAGAAAGAAAAAAAGAAGAAGGAAGGAAGGAAGGAAAGAAAATAGACAATTCTCTAGGGGTTATCTAGGTTTTTAACACTGTAAAAACCATCATAAAGCGCATTAAGGAGCTGGTGTGTAGCTCAGCAGTATAGCACTTGCCTAGTATGCATGAGGCCCTGGGTTTGGTCCCCAGCACACATTTAAAAACAATACAATGAAGTCCCTATTTCCTGGCAATCACTGGAAAACTCTACTAAGGGCAAATTCCACATAAGATTATAAAGTCAATACAATGCCTCAAAGCACTTCTGAATCACAGAATAACAATTAAATTGGAATCAGCATAATTTTATTGCATTGTAATATATGCTGATTATTTGGGAACTGATCTTCAATCTATGGATTTATGTTAATTCTTTAGGCACCAAAATCTTGAGTTAATCAGATGACCTCGTTTCCTTGACCATGAAAGCTACTTTACTCCACCAACTCAACAGATTGCCTAGTGCTTCCTACAGGTGGGGACATTTTCATACTGTTCTGTTCTTCCCTAAAAGGAATGGGTGTGTGAAAATTAACAAGTCTGCATTATAACATTGTAAATGATTATACCAAACTTTTAAAACCTGCAAAAACATAAGACCCTGAAAATCACTTTAGAATTGACATTTAAATAGATTATTTTCCTTTAATAGAAGTACAGATGTATGTATAAAGCCATATGTGTATGTATATACATACATGTATATAAATCTCGTGAGGGATCAATACTCAGGCTCAAGACCCTGGAGACCAGACCATGGGCAGAGAGGCAGATGGAATCACGTGGACAAATGCAGATAAGTGGTTGGGGAGAGATTAAGAGCAATGAGCAAACGCCTGCCACACACCATGTAAAAGTACAATTTCCATTCCGCAGAGAGCAGCATCCACACACCAGTGTTTTCGAGTAAAGTGAAGAAATACAGTTTAGAAGGTCTCTATGGTAAAATGTCTCATAATAATGAGATCGGACATAAATCAGTGTTTAGTAACAGCAATAGAAGGAGCTAGCAAGACTAATGCAGTTGGATAAAATCTGGCTTATATTTGAGATCCCATATTGATTGTGCCTTGACAATTGTTCTCTAGAATTTTACAAAAGTCTTTCAATCACTGGCCTATTGTTTGAAAAGCTCATCCAACTGACCCTATATACTTTATTCAAGAGTAGTTTGCTTTTTTCTTGTTAAACTCAATCAGATAAATACTGTTCTTAAACCCTAAAATGTGCCATAGATTTGTTTTTACAATATCCAACCTCACCCTCCTGGGATGGTGTATATTGGTGACCCATCATATTTGGTAAAAATGCAAAAGAGAGTTTACATTTCTAGTTCTTCAAACCATTTCTGGGAAGAAAAGAATTGTTCATATACGTTTCTTAACAAAAGATTTCCAAGCCAAAAGTGTTAAAAGACTATGAGAGACTATGAGAGGTTGCATATTTCAATATAATCAGCCTGAGGAACTCTGAAATCACGTAAGGTAACTTAATTTCCACGCCACTGACATGTAATCGGGCCTTGCCTGGAATCTCCTGGATCCCTTTATATTCTATACTGCACGGCGCAGGTTTCCCCCTGTAGACACCCGTGGCCACTAGGTGGTGCTGTGGCGCCCTGTTCAAACCCTTTCTCACTTACTTGCAGTCTCTGTCCTCCAAATCAAAGTGTGGATTGAAGTTGATCATAATTCTCTGGTAGGGGTCCGGAGCCTGAATCAGCCATTCACATTTTTCACTTGGGTGATAGGAATGAGGATAGCCGGGAGATGTGAGGTACCCGGGACTTTCAATTTTTATAGTACCGCCACATTTATCTGCAATAAAAATAATATTTTAGTAGATCTTTCCTTGACAACCTGCTAGGGGGTGTAGCTTCAGGCATACATTGTTACCACTTAGGAAACATTCTGCAACTTTTTAAGGGGAACTTCAAGAGGTCCGCTAGTCCTCCAGGTGGCACTGAGAACAGCACTCCACCAAGGAACACTATTTAATCTCAGGAAGGTCAGTTTCACCGGAAAGGCAACTTGAGCTTTGAGAAGACTTTCTCCCACCCCCAAAGTCCCCTTTCAAGAAAAAGATCTTGTAGCATTAAAAACATTAAATCCCTTCAATTGATGTTAACACGGTCCCCTGGGAGCTTCTGCTAGACTTAATTATCCCCCAAGAAGTGTAATCACATTAAGTAGCAAGTTCTAAGTGGAAGGTGACTAAGAGATGCTGTCCCCCTTGTGTTGCTTTTTGATGATAAGCCCGGGCTGTCACTGGCCGGTTAGTACTGTCTCCCAAGACTCTGACTGGCCTAAAGCCAGAGTTTTTCCCCCTAGTTGTTGTTGTTTTATCTGCCCATAAATCTGAGTGATTTTGAGTTATCTCTGCTCCTGAGATCCAAATCAAGGGGGAACAAAGTATAGCTGGTGAAGCAGAAATAATTCTGCTTTACGTCTCTAAGTTGCTCAGGCTTGGAGAGCAGATCAAAGCAGTGGGGCAGAAAGAAAAATAAATAGCCATGCAGCATTAATTCTAATTACCTAAATGTTGGAGTGAAAAAACCCCCACCGTGGTGAGGTCTTGGGTATCACATATGGTGAGACACATTCTCACATTCTGGGGAAGGCGCGCTAACCAGTTTGGAGCCTTTATTTTAACAAATGAAATGCCGAACTTATGCGCTGAGCGCCAGAGAAACCCGTCTGTGGGCTGGTTTCTTGTTCAGCATAGATCCCCATTGTCACTTTTTATGATCGATTTCATACTGGAGGGCCTCAGCCTGAAATGCTGCCGCATTTCCTGGTGCTTAATTTTAAGCAACATGAATTTGGTACATAAACTATGTAAGAGAAACAGGTATGAAAGCAGTGAGATATATAAGCCTATCAATCACAAATATTCAGTAATGGTATATATAGATTTTAATATTGCACCTAGTAGATTCTCTGTGGAAAGGGAATGGCATTCTTTGCTCTCAGCATGAATTTATAAATCTACAGAATTTTATTACAGGAAAACCAGGTCAAATGGAAATGAAAGATGAAGTGCACATCAAAAATGCATAAAGCAACATGCATTACAGAAGTCATTTCCCATAAATTAAAAAGAAGACAATGTAAATTATACTGTTTTCTTCAATTGCTAGTCGCCTGACTGTTTCTGAGACTGGGGGTAGTCGGATACCGGTTCCCTCTGCACTGGCTTTTAAAAGCTTTACGTTTGCCAAGAAGAAATGATACTGCAACTGGCATTCAGACTCTCAGCCTGACCACCCTGGACTCAGTTCCATGATTCTGCTGAAGCGTGTGCATTATTTTAAATGTGCAGAAAACTTGGAAAAGTAACCCCGTCTCATTAAGTCTCCTGCAGCTCTGTACAAACATCACGGCAGTGTCTGGTATCTGTTAGGAGAGTGAAATAAAACAGCACTGGCCCCAGTCACTCGACAAGAGTCACTTCAGAAGACATTTAGGTAGACTTGGTACCACACCAGAGCTCTTTAATCTGTGACTTCTGAGAAAGTGACAGTGTAATAAGATAATGTGGACTGCTAGACTCCCTGGCTCTGTTAAATCTCTCTAACAGTTGATTAAGAAAGAGCAATTTCTAATGACTCTGGACCATTAGTTCTAAATAAGGTTAATGAATTAATTTAGCAGACACTGGTACTTGCAGGAGGTGGACAGGGCTTTAAGAGGACTGCTCACTCACAGAGGCAGGGGCTGGCCCCGGCCGCTTCAAGCAGAGTAGCATGGCTTTAGCTAGGCAGGCTTGTGACTGGAGCCCAGATTCCCCCAGCATTCCCCAGATTTCTGCTAGGGAAATTAAGAAGTGTGCGTGTGTGAGTGTGTGTATAAGTATACGTGTTTGTGGAGTTCAGAGCAAAAATCTCCAAAGCATTTTGCACTGGCTTCCAAATCCATCCTGTGAACACCCCCGCTGTGGCGGTCTTCCGAGCAGTTCTGCAGGAGAGAGGGTGGATTACTGTAATTTCCAAACTCTAACCACTGGAGCTCGAGAGTGCTACTTTATTCCCTGCCAGATTACAGCAAGATGCCATCAACTCAGGTTCATTAATGAACTGAACTCCACATTCACAATTTTTGAGCATTTCTGCTTCCCTGCCAGAGTATAGAAAGATGCCACCAACGCAAGTCCATTAATAAATTGAGCTCTATTCACATTCACAAATATTTTTTGCACATCTTTTAGAACACTGCTTGGTACCTGTTGGAGGAAATCTGTTGCTTAAATTATGAAAAAGCACATTAGAGAGATTAACCCCCATCATAAAGAAGTGATTTAAATTCGCCTGGGTGTAAGCCCTTCCACTTGCAGTCTCTTATTAAAACAATATACTACAGCAAGTAGTGCATGTTCTTTTCTTCTAACTACTTTGACTGAAATCTAAGCCAGACAAAAGTAAATATTTGATCATAAGTTAATAACAATGCTGAAGATTTACAGTAAAGATATTCTCATGCCCTCACCTTCCCCTACTTTACAGTTAGTCAAACATGCGTACAACCACATCACATTTTTAAACACATTATTTAGGTTACGTGGTACTGTTTATACCCCAGCCCAGTCTTGCATTCCCTTAACACTGAGTGGTTTGAAGTGGAAACTGCAACCAGGTTAGGGATTTCAGATATCCTGGTGCCTGGCATCGTATGCCACAGAGTCCTTTATTCACTCTGTGGAACTTTCATTCATACTCCGGGCGGAGCAGGCACGGTTTACAAAGGCGGGGAGGGAGGGAGGGAGTTCCAGCCACCGACCAGACCAGCCGAGTCTCCGGCCTGCGCCCTAAGGAGGAAGCAGATCCGGGAGCTGCAGGACGACTAGGAAGTTCTCCCGGGGAAGTGTTCATTAACTTCCAACAGCCACCCGATTTTTGAAAGGGAGTCTCATCTAATTGCCTTGGGGAGGAAGCGTTATTAAGATAATTGGTGCGCCGAGGTGGGGAGGCAGCAGCTCCACTTGTCAGGGGCGCAGGGCAGCTCCACTTCGGGGGAAGCCCGGGAACTTGCCATCCTCCTGCCCTAAGCAGGCGATCTTAGGTCTTCATTGCTCCGCCCGGATCAAAGTTTCCCTCGCCTGGCCGGGGAGGTGGGTGGTCGTTCCCGCTTCCCCGTGCAGCTCTGCAGGTCCCGGGCCCCAGCGGGAGCCGAACCCTGGCTGCCCGGCCGTGCGGCCGCACGCGCCCCGCTGTCACTCACCGTTGCGGAAGGCGCCGGCCCGGGCGAGGGCGAGGGCGAGCGCGGCGCAGAGCAGCGGCAGCCGCGCGTCCATCCTGGCTGCGCCGGTCCGGGGCGAGAGGAGAGCGAGCGGGAAACGCCGGGCACAGGGCGCGGGGATCCGCAGCGCCCCAACTCCGCCGGCTCCGCGAGACCCTCAGTCCGGCCCGGGGAAGGGAGAGCAGCGAGGCAATGCCCCGATCCGAGAGAAACGCGTCGCTTTTTGTGTCTCAAGTCGCCCGCATCCTGTCATTTAGCTCCGGCTTCCTCTCCCTTTTCCCACACTTGTTCCTCTTTCAGAAGCCACGGCCCGGGCCATGTCTCAAAAAAAAAAAAAAAAAAATGCTGGGAGGAGGAGGAGGAGGAGGAAGGAGGGCGACACGAACCGAAGCCAATTTCCAGGAAAAAAAAAAT